TTGCCTTTGCCGTAGGCTTCGAAGACTTCGCGAACCGCAAGCGAATTAGTGAGATCTACTTTGCGATCATCTATTATTACACTAAATTTATCTTCTTCTGACGCGTCCGCTGGCAGGGATTCGCGTGCAATTTTTGAAACACGTTCGAGAGACTCTGCGTGCGAGTTGGAATAGTTATCGATAGAAATGATTTTGAATTTTCTGGTAAGTAAAAGCGAGAGGATTACGTGAGACCCTAATTAGACGCGAAATAACGCGTCAGTGATTGCATGCGACGTGGAGGATAGTGTCAAATCAGGAATTGTGGCGGCGTACCTATATATCCGGCACCGCCGGTGACAATGATATTCTACCGATAGGATTGTGCTCTGTAGGGGCGTAGTTCTCCAGAAACCTGTCTCTCACCTGAAGAACCATGGAAGTGCCTGCTTATTTCGAGGATAAATTAGAATGCTTTTCCATTACAGAGTTGGCAGGGAATTCGGGGGGAATCACGTGGAACGATGTTTCACCGTGTTCCATGGGTGGGGCCGCGCAGAGAGAGGCCAGAAGACATGATTTCATCTCCTCAGATTATGCTGGCTTCGAATCCTCGGTGCGAACGAGCCTGTACACCCTGCTACATTTAGCAGACAGAGCGTGGTAAGCATTGCCTGTTGTGGAAATAAGCTCGCACTAATTTCGGCAGTCGCCGGCCAGATCGGTCACTTGGTTGCTACTGCATTCGTTGCGTCCGAACCGCAACTGCGCCACAGCTTCTAATCCCTTTCTCCCAATCGCCACAATCGAAAGGCTCTTTCCACAATGTCGGGTTGGATGTCATGGTTCACAGGACCAAAGGACACCAAGAGGCCTGCTCGAGAAGCTATCATCAAGCTGAGGCAGAACCTGCAGCTCCTTGAGAGAAAGGAGGAGCATCTGCAGAAGCAGATCGATGAACAGCATGCCAAGGCTAAAGCAAACGCTGTTACTAATCAGAACTGTCTGTGTGACGCGTTCCATGGTCTCCGATACCTGTGACTGATGGTGTATCCCAACGACCATAGTGGCGAAAGAGGCGCTGAAGCGGAAGAAAGTCCTACAGGCGGATCTCGACAGGCTCAGCGGGCAGAAATTCACACTCGAATCCCAGGTGCGCTGTCCAAACCATGCTTTGCATCCGTCGAGTCATTCAACTCCTGATACCTATTTCCGTCCACCCCGGCGGCTCCATAGGTGAACGCGCTCGAGAGCGCTAACATCAACCAGGAAGTGTTGGACGCTATGACGAGTGGTGCCAATGCACTCTCCAAGATCCATGGAAAGATGTACGCCCGCACCCTATTTTTTCCGTGCTGTAAACGCATCGTGTGACATTTCCGCAGGACAGTCGAACAAGTCGAAACGACAATGGATTCGATCCGAGAACAAATGGCCGTTACACAAGAAATTTCAAACGCTATTTCTACTCCCATGGTTGCAGGAATTGAGATAGATGATTTTGAGCTGGACAAAGAGTTAGAGGAGCTAGAACAGGAGGAGCTCAATACCCGATTAAAGGGTGCTGAACGCGTGCCGATACAACCTCCGGTTTCGCCAACAAGAGAGACTGCAGATAGTACGTATCTTTTAGCGGATTTGGGCCCAACCTTATTCACTTACCTCGTTTTCCACTCCTCAACAGAAGGGAAACGGCGAACAGAAGAGTCGGAAGAAGAGCGGGAGCTGCGGGAACTCCAAGCCTCGTTGGCTATGTGACGTTTCGGACAACTTTGCGATCCGATTCGGTACCACACTCACTTCTTTGGGATCAATTTTGCATGAACTACTTCTGCCACCCTTCTTTTTTTGATAATGACATTCCGTTAATAACTGTACATACCACTACATCGTACGGTTCTTACAGTATATCTCAGCACTCTAAGGAATGGGCACATGAAGTGCTTGCAAAGGTAGAAATATTGTGGAAGTGGTGGAATCACCAACGAGCTTGCGGATGCAAACGCCTTTGGTCACGAGTTTGAAACATACATCAATATCCACTTAATTACGGCGCCGGGCCGGCCCTTTCCTCAAGTTAGATGTCGTAAACACTACTAGTGCGCTTGGCGGCCGGCTTTCCTGTCAACAGTGAATATAAACAGCAACAAGCGCGGCATCGATCGTCCTTCCATGGCCCCGTCTACCTCATCCCCAACCCTCCTTCCTTAGCATCCATTAGGGGAGGGGGGAGCTATTTTCTCAATGATTCGTCTCTTCACTATATATGTGTTGCTTATATGCATGCAACATGCCGCATCAGCGGCGGAGCCTCCAAGGAATTTCAGTTAATTCACGACTTCCCAACTTACGGGATGATTCGTTTGTTCGTTGTTGATGATACATATACACCTCTCTGATCTGCGTTCCAGGGGACAGACTATTTTCATAACCGCCCTTGGTGAGAAGTTCACTCCATGGTTCTCGGATACCGAACGACGGCTTCAAGAGAGCGATCAATGGTATAACCAGCATAGAATCCTCGCGCAACTGGTTTCTCTATGGATTCCTGGGTGACGATCAATGATTGCAATTCCCAAAGGAAAAAGGGGTCAGGCGGAGGTGACGGAGTTGGAATATTGACCGCTTCAGGTATAACTGCGTTCTCCGCGCCAGGAAACTGAGTGAGTCCGTGAGGAGGGCTATCGGAATGAGGAGGTCTCCCATAGTTTGTTGCAAGATGGTTTCAAATATGAAATGATGCAAGCGGAGACAAATACCTCCTGCCTGTTATCATTCATGGGATGCTGGACGGGGTAAAGATACCCTTGCCTATCCTTGCTCGTTTAAGTGTGATATCAGTGATAGTAGGTCCGAGTCCGTCGAGGAAGCTGGCTACACTACTGGCTTGACTTGCCATGCCGTAGACCATACGGAGCGCGGGGCGGTAGGTGACTACACCAGTTGAGTGATTCCTATTTAGATACTGAGAGGCAGAGATGCTGCTGCTGTTGGCTCAGTGTTAGAATGCGCACGCGCACTTGAGATGTAAGGCATCCTATAGCAATCCAATTTTTGGAGGAATGCCCTTAGTGTAGCTGGCACATGTTGGAGCGGCTTGGTGGCTGCGCTGGTTTTGATTCCACTGAACAATTGGTCCCCTAACCTTGACTCAACGGGGCAATTAATCCTGCCAGCCACGGGGACCCATCTGATCATCAATCGGGCTATTTACAGAGCACAATCCTATCGGTAGAATGTCATTGTCACCGGCGGTGCCGGATATATAGGTACGCCGCCACAATTCCTGATTTGACACTATCCTCCACGTCGCATGCAATCACTGACGCGTTATTTCGCGTCTAATTAGGGTCTCACGTAATCCTCTCGCTTTTACTTACCAGAAAATTCAAAATCATTTCTATCGATAACTATTCCAACTCGCACGCAGAGTCTCTCGAACGTGTTTCAAAAATTGCACGCGAATCCCTGCCAGCGGACGCGTCAGAAGAAGATAAATTTAGTGTAATAATAGATGATCGCAAAGTAGATCTCACTAATTCGCTTGCGGTTCGCGAAGTCTTCGAAGCCTACGGCAAAGGCAACATCTGGGGTCTTATCCATATCGCTGCACTGAAAGCTGTTGGGGAATCCGGAACGGTCCCTATAGAATATTATCGCGTCAACGTTGCTGCTACAATAACTCTCTTACAACTCATGGACGAATTCGAATCGCATAGACTTGTATACTCTTCTTCCGCGGCAGTGTACGGTATTCCATCAAAAATTCCCACCCCTGAAACTACAGCTCTCAAAGCTAAAAGCGTCTATGGACGTACGAAGGCCATATCCGAAACCATTATCAAGGATATATGCCAGTGTATGTACAACCTTATTCCATACAACTCTATTCACCGAGTGTTTGGCCTATCAATATGCACGACTCCTTTAGCGAACCCGAAATGGCGCGTAATATCGTTACGATATTTCAAGTGAGTGATGGTCGATTTCCCTTCGAATTCGTTCTCAGCTGAGAAATGATTCTGTGAGAATAGCCCCGCAGGTGCATATAAATCGGGTCAAATAGGCGAACACCCCGTGGGAATTCCTGAAAATTTGCTGCCTCGTCTTGCCCAAATGGCTGCAGAACAAGTGGAAGGCCCTGTAAATGTGTTCGGGAATGAATATAATACCAGGTGTGTCTAGGTTCCCTAATGATATTGCCACGACGGACTAACATCAGACCTGGGTGGGCTTGAGAAGGGATGGCACTTGCGTCAGAGATTACATTCATGTTGTCGACTTGGCGGAAGGCCACCGTCTGGCACTAGAAGCTCTCTCGGATGGGTCGCTCCAGAAGACGTTCGGAAACGTCGCGGGAAATAATGTCAATTACAAGGCTTACAACCTTGGCACAGGACATGGGAAAACCGTACTGGAGGTTGTCAACGTAATGAAAGAAGTCACAAATTTCGCATACGAGATAAAGTTTGGTAACCCCCGGTGGGTAGTCCCTACCACTCACATGTTTGATATTCAATACCAAGTTTACAGTGCCGGCGACGCTCCAACCCTGACAGCCGACCCAGCTCTAGCCAAGACGGAACTTGGCTTCTCGGCTTCATCTGACCTCGAGAGGATTTGCCGTGATCTCTGGAACTGGCAGGCAAAGAACCCAGCTGGCTACGGTACTCAAAGAGCCCAACGGAGCTAACTATCCAGAAGAAACTCACCAAATCCATCATTGTCGAAGTTCCTGGTCAGGAGGTTGTCATTGAAGCTACTGCGGAGGTTAAGAAAGTTTGGGTGTTAGGAGTCTGAGTCACAGTTCACGGTTATTCTTATACTACTATTCTGGCTCTCATCGCTATCTTGTGTACTCATGGACATATCTCGCTATACGGACTTGAGTTGGACTGGAGACTAGTAGAAGTAACTTACATCATTGATACCCATGTTGTTGATAAATGCCACAACCTTGTGGACCTCGGTCGCTTGGGCCTGCCCGCACATGAATCCGCCAAGTTTTCGATCTCGGAGATTTCCAAGCTCCGAGTCGCATTGAACTCTTGTGCAAAGAACTCAATGTTCACCACCCAAAGCATTAAACATCAGAAGATGGAGCCCCCAACTGGGATGTCTGAGTTTCCTACGATGATCAATGAGCTGGGTGCGCTCCTAGATGCACTAAATCTTTACGTATCTACGAACTTTGTCAATGCTACACCCATTCTTCTTCAGTACCATCCATCCAGGCGCACCGAGATGATACAGCACGAAAAGGATCGTATTCACCGAATGCACGAGCAAATAACCCGAGTAGGCACTATTGCGCTGAAGTTCAAGGCGTTTGAGCAGAACATGAACCGGCGCCACAGTGCCCTCCAAAATACGCTATCGCCTGTATTTTCTCTGCCAACCGAAATCCTACTCAACATCCTTTCCAGAGTTGTCTTCGCCAGTCGTTGTCGGGTGCCGCCGGAGAGGCTGTTGCTCGTTTGCTCCGCGTGGAAATCGCTTATTCTCTCATCTCCGGAGCTCTGGGCGGGTTTCACAATGTACCTGGGAGCCTCCAAACGTTGTCACGCTTACTTCGAGCGGTCAAAGCCACGAAAAATACAAGTTATCCTTCTCTCAGGTTCAAATTCGCCTCCTCATTGGGTTCGAAAGATTCCCCCGTGGATCGCCAGCGAAGATTTTGCCTCCCGGGTGACGCGTCTCTGTGTGCAATTAGACAACGACCTCACTCAGTCATTATGGGCACCATTAATCACAAGAAACAGTCCCCTGTTCACCAAGCTCTCAATCTTGAAGATCACGGGCGATTCGAACAACGAGAGATTCCCGTTGCCTCTGATCCAGTTTCTATCAGACAGGAGATTTCCTCGCCTCACCAAACTTCACCTCTCTGGGGTAACACTAACATCCACACCTCTGGAGCAGATCATGAATATCAGATTTTTGGTTCTGGAAGGTGCCTTTATGGACAATGTCACTTTGGTGGCTCTGATGCGGTGCTGTCCTCAACTGCACACCCTGCACATGCGTTATGGTTATTATTCTGGCTTTGTGAGACCGGATATGAGCATGACACCAATTCATCTCCCTCATCTCCGAGAAATCCACGTTACATTCTCTAAAATCTTCATAATGGTCCAGCTTTTTACGCGGATCAGAGCGCCCGAAATACGCACCCTCAGAATTACGTCTGCACCTTTTCGGGATACATCTGCATCTTTAGGTGTGGCTGAAGGCATATCTGCACTGGATGCGTTTGTGAGTTCTCGATCCCTAATTTTCGGGCGTGATGGACTCACTGCATCCTCTGGTTAGTTGTCGGGCATTGTGCACCAATCGTTCAACGAATTAGAGTTCCGTGGCCAAATCCACACAATGACCCTCTTCCTAAGCCTGCTTTTAACGAAGACTCAACCGCGTGGGTCGAGTGCTTTTCTGGGACTGAGACGGTTGGTTTTACGGACACCAGTTGCTGGTTTGGGTGATAACGGTTACGGAAATGAAGCCTCGCAACTCCGGACCCTGGTAGAACGCCTTCATGAGCGGGGTGGCCGATTAGAAACTTTGGAGGCTACCTCCAATTTCATCACGGATGACTCCGTAACGTTGGAGCAGTATGTTGGGGTCGTCCGTATCATCGCTGATACGCGTGATTGAGATTGTGTGAGTTATAGCTGACACGGATGTGCTATCGATATTCATGGAAAGACCTATACAGAGGCTGGGTCCTGCCTAGGAAAGGCCGGTGCTAACGGTAATCAATTACCGATATGGCGGGACCAAGGCACACAAAGCTGGGGCTTTGAATGACTATGCCTCACGCTTTGTCATGTCTCGGGATCAGCACGTTTTGGCAACGCGCGTGTGGGGTGCCTCCTATTTGCAATAGGAGTTCATCAAATTTTCTTTGATTGGTTCAGAGTTCCCATGCCTTCACATCTCCTGCTGTGTCTGTTCTGCGCTACCCTCCCCTTGGTTATATGTACAAGCTAGTTTAGTTTTTTACCCTCAATTCAGAAGTCTCGGCACAAGTCGGGGCTGTCGTCACAGCTGTTGGAGATCAAGCACGAAATCATGTATTTACAATTATTTACTCCGAAAATATACCTTAGCGGTCTACTGTCATCTTGTCCGACCCCGGCCCTGGAACTGCCATAACCCTATATTTTCTATAACAGCTACAACGTACACCCTTGAGCCAGCTCGGCCAGTGCACGAACACAAGCAATATCTGAACACCGCATTTTCGGTTCCGTCCCGGTTCGGTTCGGAACGGAACTGTTGGAATGGCCATCGCTATCTATTATGCTTGGATTTTTTTTTTCGGTCCGACACAAAGACCCTGATCTCTTAGACTAAAGCCCTGAACAAGATATTTTATGATTGTATGCGCAATATCCAACATGCAACCCTTCAATGGTTCTTACGGTTCGGTTCGAGTATGGGTTCGAAACCAATCGATCTCTGGTGTATCCATGGACAGATCTCGCTTCATGGACATGAAACTAGAAGTAACTCATGTTGCTGACAATCATGGACTAGATGCCACATCTTTGGCCTTGAAACTGCCTCGCTGAGGCACCTGGACCCGAGCTTGAAGATCTCTGCATTCGAGTGGCAGCTACCAATTACGTAGTACCATGGGATTGGGCCTCCACCAGGGATGTCTGACCCTCCCACTATCATCAATGAACTGGTCCTCCTGGATGCACTGAATCTTCACATGTTTGCGTCGTCGATGTGATGCCTCTTCTTCAGCCATACGTGCCAAGATGATAGAGCACACAAAGGATCACTTCATCTAATGGATGAACCAATGGCTCGTAAGGGTGCTATTGCACAGAAGTTCCAGGAGTTCAACATGAAGATAGCACGCCATCACGGCGCCTTTCAAAATATGCTGGGATTAGGATCTTGAAAGGGATCTTGAGATGGCTCCTGATAGTGACTTTGAGGCAGAGATGGGAGTCCAGGAAGAGAGAGGGGTTCAAGATGCCCAGGGAGTGCATACATGCCATCATCAGCCCCACCTTGAGCTGGAGACCCAACAGGAGTCCTCTGGTGCTGTCTACGTGTCTCTTCAGGAGTTTGTGAGAGACGTTCAGAATGAAGTCTAGGGCCAGTAGAGTTTGGTGGAGTGATTTCTATACAGAAAAGTCATTCTTCATATCCTGCTGACAACAGAACACAACATACATGGTGTACTCCTAGGTGTTTCTAGGGCTTTGGACCCAACTTGAGACTGAACATTCAGTTCTTGAAGCCCAAGAGCAAGTTGTGTCCCAATAGATGGATTTCAGTTATGTTGGGGTCTTGTAAGGGATTAACCTTACTTCACTATAATTCCGATTATAGTGATATTTATATTATGTTGCATCGCTATAATTCCCATTATAGTGATGTGGTTATTTCTTTATTTATTTGTGCTGAGATATGTAATTTACATATATATACCTCGGAGTAGTTGTAAAGGCCCGGTAGCCTTTTACCTCTACCCCATTGAATATAGAGCACATTTAAGCTTATATTTAGACGGACTAACTGAGGCCTGAGGCGAACGGGGGAACGGAACATTACCGTCCCCAAATAAGTAAGCAACCTTTCACTTTTTTAAGCTAGTTTCCTTTTACAATCTCGGCACCGTGACTGGTGACGGAACCCTGCTGTGTCCCACATGCGTTGTCTACCCTGACAACGCGCATCATTGATCACACACACGTTGTCTAGCCCGACAATGCGCATTTGCGCCTAGTTCTCACGCGCAAATCGCACGTGCGCCATTCCTAGACGCACGCTCACCTAGGCTGTGCCTCAGAGTAGAGGCAACCCCTCCCAATCTCAGGATCTGGGAAGCTACCATGACACCGGTGCCAGAACCCCATTTGGCAACCCACGCATCGTTGTCCCTGACGACGCGCACATTCAATCAAGGTTCACACCGGAACCTTTGATCTCACTTCCTGATGCTCACAACCAGGAAGTTCCGGACTCGCACCCACACAGCTGGCCCTTCCTCCAGTCCTATGGTGGGAGTCAACACCACTCCATCTGCAAGTGGTGATCTGGGCCCGTGAGGGCCCAGCGATGCGTCTCATACGCGTTGTACCATCTCAGGAGATGCTGAACCTGTCACAGCATCTCAATCCCACTTGGTGTCTGTCCTACTGCCACCCTCGCGTTCACCATCACGGGCCTGCTCTCCCTATTTCAAGGGTGCATGAGTATTACATGAATGCGTCAACAAAGTCAGAACTGGCTTTGCCAGCTTGAAAGCCAATGTCACCCAGTTGGAAGTCAACATCATTCAGGTGGATAATCACATTACCACCTTGACCACTGCCATCGAAAGATTCAATAAGAAAATCGACGAGATTCTCTTTCCACTCAATCAATGTGACAAGCCGAAGCCGCGGACAAAAACGCGAGTTGACCCACCTGTGGCCACTCAGGCCCGACTTCCCTCCCCACTCACTTGCACACTGGAGAGGCATTCTAATACTTCCCTTCCGCCCAGTTTGGGATGGAATAACCATCTCCCTAGCGCTGTAAAGCGCGAACACATGGAGCCACCCAGCGCTTTGCTGGGTAAAGTTCTCAATGACTCTCCTGCCCCAGTGGGAGCCGAGTGTTGATCTAGCGCTGTGCTGATGGCCCAAGCGACTGGTTTACCATCGGTTATAGATGGAATCAGCTGCGCTTCAGCTGCTGCCAAGTGCCAGCTCATAGAGCTGCCCAGCGCTTCGGCAATTCCTGGGTTTGACAACCCAGATACTCCTTACACACTCCCAACCCCCTACTCATCCTGATCTGAGGGAGGATGGATTCGAGGGGCCTCAGAGGCCCTCTTCACGCCAACAGGAGCGTTTTTCCTGGCACTTTTGAGTGCCAGGTCACCAGGATGCTCCGGACCACGGACCTGGTGGTTCATAATTCCCTACCCCTTCCGCGGAAAGGAGACCAACCCTTCCTAAGGAAAGGGTTCTCATCTATCGTAGTTATAGATGGAATCGGCAGCGCTTCAGCTGCTGCCAAGTGCCAGCTCATAGAGCTGCCCAGCGCTTCGGAAATTCCTGGGTTTGACAACCCAGCAGCACCTACTCCCTCCACTCTGCAGGCCAAGAGGGATGCTTTCCTGGTGCTGTTATGTGCCAGGTCACCAAGATGCGCGATGCTGTTCCACATCGCGATTTCGGTGATTCATTATTCTCCACCCCTTCCGCGGAAGGGAGACCAACCCTTTCTAAGGAAAGGGTTCTCATCTATCGTTCACTGCATAGTGAACGATATGTTCTGCCCACAGACACTCCACTTCTGGGAAAGTCTGTGTGTTCCCGGCATTATTGGGTGCCGGGTCCCCAAAATGCGTGGTGCTTCTTTGTACCGCGCTCATTTCTCTGTTGCTTTTCCATCTGGAAAAGGGTTCCCTTCTGTCGTTCACTGCAGAGTGAACGATCTGTCTTGCCAACAGACACTCCTCCAAGGGAAGGTCTGTGTTTTCCTGGCATTGTTGAGTGCCAGGTCATCAAAATGCGCGGTGCCTCTCTGCACCACGCTCATTTCCTTATTGCCTTCCCATCTGGAAGGCTGGCCCTTTCTAAGGAAAGGGCTTCTCTCTATTGTTCACTTCATAGTGAACAAGCTGTCCCACCGACGGACAAGCTGCCCCCAACAAAAACCCGTGTCTGAATGATCAGACATGCTCAGGCCTGCCCAGTTCATGGGCCGCGCTTCCATTCTGTCACTCATATGGACAGAATGACCTCTCTACTCCCCTAGATGACTATCTAGGGAGGAGCAGATCACTGCTCAGAACTCCGGCCCACATTCAAGTGTGGCGGAAATTTTTTAACCTAGATTCCTAGGTTGAATTTTCAACTACTCTCCCAGACAACTGTCTAGGGAGGAGAAACAAACCCGTGCCACTCTTTAGTGGATGTTTTTGCGGGTCAGCATCGCGCTGACTCATTATTATCTTACTCCCCAGACAACACTCTAGGGAGGAGCGGCCTCAGAATCACTGGCCATCACCGAGGTATTGACCTTCGGTGAGTTACCTGTGTCACCGGAGTATCAACCTTTGGGTTTGGACTCACTGACTATCACCGGGGTATAACCTTCGGTGAGTTACTTCTGTCACTGGAGTATCAACCTTCGGGTTGACTGCTTCATCTCTTGCTGGTGGAAGCCATGATGCCGCAAACTTGTGGGCATTATAAACTCAACTGCACAGTATGTGCCCAATCCCGCAGTGGACCAATTCAGGTGTCACCGCCTTTTCTCATCAACAACAATGCCGTTGTTGGTTCTTTTCCTTTCCCTTTTTGATTTTCGACGGTGACTCAACTGTTAGTCTAGCTTGTCATATTGACACTTGCTACTTCATCGTCAACAATGCTGTTGTCGAGAGCTGGGTACATATGTTCCAGGAGAAACTCTAAGTGGGCTTTGCCTACAAAATACTACTATAGCCTCCTGCAATGAGTGTACCCCCACTTGCATACATTCTTCGTATGTAGAGTGTTATATTTCCTTAATATGCTTGCTTTCCCTTTCATATGCTTGTACCCTGTCTGCGATTCAATATCGCAAGGGAGGAGGATGTAAGGGATTAACCTTACTTCACTATAATTCCGATTATAGTGATATTTATATTATGTTGCATTGCTATAATTCCCATTATAGTGATGTGGTTATTTCTTTATTTATTTGTGCCGAGATATGTAATTTACATATATATACCTTGGAGTAGTTGTAAAGGCCCGGTAGCCTTTTACCTCTACCCCGTTGAATATAGAGCACATTTAAGCTTATATTTAGACGGACTAACTGAGGCCTGAGGCGAACGGGGGAACGGAATGTTACCGTCCCCAAATAAGTAAGCAACCTTTCAGGTCTCTGTTGAGGTGGCCGTTGTAACAGGTCTATCCAACTAGACTCGTGGCTCAGGTCTAGGGGGGGTAGGTCTCTCTCTATCTCAGGTAGGTATGGTCCTTGAGTACGGTGCTGATACTCTGTCTAACCTCTAACTAACTGTCTGTACAGTTGTCATGGAAGAGTCTGATACAAATATGAAAGGAAAGTCACATGCGTGAATGAAT